GTTATCTGTGGTTAAGGCATACCAAGCAGCAAATCATATCTGTATATGCATGGCACGTCCTGAGCAGGTGTTTTCATTTGACTTGTATCTTGAAATCTAGGCCTTTTTCAGGGCTACAGGCTATGCACTTTAGATGTCAGTTACAGATGAACATGACCTTGCCGTATCTGATCAGTTGGCTACAAAGCTGTACTCGCTGTTTCTCTGGACTTTACTACCAATATTGAATATAAGCTTGTACACACTATAAATTACTTTTTTTTAAAAATGATGTTTTATCCAGAAGCCAGTTACCACTCTATATGACCTCTGCTTTATTCTCCTTTGTCTTCACAAAGCAGCCAAACCGAGCCCCATTGATAGTAATGTCTTTGGTCAGGAGTCACAGTGGGTTGTTAGAGAGGACAGTAATATTCCTTATGCAGCAAACAGCTAGCAGCAGCACTATGATATCATCTACTATGGATAAGGCTGGACGTGGATAACAAGGATGTGTTATGAGCTGCACAGCGTACAACTCAGATGATGAAACTACTTAAAGATCCACTCATGCCTGCTTATAATACTGTACGCTCTGGTGTCTGTGGGATGCAAGTGATGCACAAATCAATGAACATATTAGGACTGTATACTGACGCTGAGCTTAAATAAGAGTAGCAACAGCTTCAGAAAGATTCAGTATACTTTACATCAGGAAGACTGCACTTTAGACTTGGACATATTCTTTGTAAATGTCTGACAAGCTTCTAATTCCATTTTGTTAACGACCTGTAAATATACTTAAATATATTATGTCATCTTGGGGACCATTGGTAAAATAGTGGTGCTTTTCTACACTAAATCACAAAATAGGTCATTTCCCAGTCAGGTGTTCAAATGGCCTCAGTGCTTTCCATCTGCTTAATATTTTTAGAACATTTCAGAGCCAAATAAATTCCCTCAGTCATCTTTTTTTTTATTCTGTTACCCTGGTCGTCCAAAACATTCCTGAGACCATTTGAACGTCCTCTTAAACCGTAATAAAACACTGGGTCATTGAGTTTTGCACTGCACGCGCGCTATGGGGGTCATTAGTTACATCAACCATGTGTGTCAAACAGTAAAAAACCTGGACATAAAAAAACATAAATCTTTGAGGAATTTCAAACAGTGTAGGTTTATTTTAACGATACATTAATATATTTTAAGCCCATTCAACCATGTAATTGAAATAGACATAAGGATAAGGTTTTTCCTCATGTAGCATCCCTTCCTGTGTTTTAGTTTGTTAATCTTACTATCTCTAGCTTTCTTCTACTTGTAGTAGTCCTGGGTCAGCCTGTTCCTCACCCAAACAAATAATTGGGAAGCCAAAAGCACACTGGGGCCTTTGGGATATCCGACAGTCTTATAAACAAAATCAAATGCCAACTTGTGCCTGAACTCCTTGCTGCTATTTGGTAGTCATGACGATTCATTATTTGCTTTGAAACCTACAGAGAAATGTTTTGATCCTAATCCCCTCGTGTGGCTAAAAACCTAAATTACTATTGGATTTGTGTCCATTTAAGATGGCTTTTTCTCATAATAAGCCTTAAGGGGTAAAAGCTATTGGGATTCATATTGCTGAGCACTGAAATAAGTTAACTATAGCAGTACAGAAGTGTCCTTCCGTACCCTTCCCTGCTTCCTTTTCCTGCAACTTGTTTTAAATTCCCCCACCAGCCTTATAAATGAAAGTAAGCATCTTGTAGCTGTCTGCTCCCATTTAACGCTGCACCCCCACTGTGTCTGGATCCCTTGAAGATTTGAGCGGTCGCTTATAGCTTGAAGGTCACAGGAGTTCATGTGTAGCAGTTTATTGAGCTAACACTTTGAGAGCAAATACCGTACAACCACTATTAAACTTGACATGTATGATTTATAGCTATTTATTCAATTGGTAGGTGAACTATTTTACCTTGCAAAACAGGCAAAGCAAAAACACACAAATGAACAGATTTTGGCAGTGAGATACAAACAAAAAAGTGTTAACATTTTAGTTTTAAGCATCCCTATAGGCCTCATTAATTGGGCTTCAGCCAGCAGGTTATGAGACAAGCATGACTCTCAGTTTGTTATACCCTGCTACAATTGGTTGGTCCCAGGAGCTCTGCCCTATGGAATATTATCCTCAGACAAAAAGCCTGCTTCCCAGAAGGATTGTGTTACTTACACATCCAGACTTTGAAAAGCCTCTTGTTAACAACAGCTGTAAAGTGAGCTTGTTCTATTATATTGCTCTTTCTGGAGTTTCTACTCTCCCACTTTCATTTCTGTTACTCTTACTTTCTCAATGTTCATAGGGAAGGATCTTGAATTAATTAAAATCAAAAGACTTTGAAGTTGGATACTTAGCCTCAGAGCACGAATGTGTGAATTGGTGTTGTTACGTTGATGGCCCCGTGGTTCCACCGAAGGTCATTTGTCATTTTGTGAGCGAAGCAATGCAGTGATGCATACAAATCCTGTGTTTTTTATTTTCTTCCTATAACCAAGCACTTCTAAATATTTAGAAGGCAGTATTTTCCTGATATGTCGAACATCTCTTACTTTTTTATACTCCTTCTTAGTTTTTCTACCTTTGAATTTGATCTCAGATAAACGTCCTTTTAATAATCTGTAGCAGAGAGTTACAGTGAGAATCGAGTGAGAGTCTCCGGCTGGTTAATTTCACAGAAAAAATAGTTGCCTGATAGAGAAAAATAATTGAATTTTTTTATTCTGTTACTCCATGATGTAATTCTGTGTAATGTCATGGTTTAGAAATGTGAATTGATATACAGACTGTGAACAGTGATGGCTGGAGATTAAACTGTGACGGCTGTCTCAAACTTGATTGAAACGTGTGTTCAGTAAACCCTTTATCATACATATGATCATTTTTTCCCCCACAATCCATTTCTCCAGTCTCCTTAGCTACTGTATTACAAATAGGGTTATGTCCTTTATTTGTTTCAAAGAGAAATGGGATCATCTATAAAGGCATGAGACCCCAGAGCCCCTCAACACAATGAAGTCATATGAGGGGGTGGTGATCTAACCCAAGATGATGAGCTGTCAGCAGCTGCGGTTGTAACTGTGCCAAGACGGACAGAATAAGGACTGAAGAAGGGAGACACGTAGAGGGGGAGGGGGGAGACAGAAAGCTAGGTTAGGGCAAGAGAAGACCTTCTATATATAGAGAGAGAGAAAGGTAGAGAGTGACAGATAACGAGGGGAAAGAGCAACACAAGACTGAATTAGAGGGCTGGCCAGACTCTGCCAAGCTGCCCGTCTCAGCACGGGACTCATGCCTATTTCCATCCCATCATCCCCCTCCATCTCTGTCACACTCTCTGTTCCCTCTCATGACATGCCATGTCCAAAGCTGAGTCAGTGAATGAATGATATTACCTTACGCTATGGGCCGGCCTACCCCACCATGCCTCATCATGTGCCTCAAGCAACTGAAATGCAATTTGTCACTAAATTCTGCGTGGCTTTTATTTTCCTCCTCCCTCCATTCGTGTCTTCCTCGACCTTACGTTCTTGCATTCAAACTTTCTCTTTCTCTGTCGTTGTGTGCCGCTTTTGTATTTATCTGTGTAGGTTGAACAACAGTAGCCAAAAACACTTCAATTAGTGTTGTGAAGGTGGAGGTGTTATCATTTCCTAAACATGTTCTTTTTGGAAGTTATGTTTATTTTGCCACAATGACTTTCTGTTTACACATTACTGTTGGTGTTTTTTTTACGATTCTTTTCTAAAACACTTTCACAATCAGTTTTAACGACCCAGCCTGATTCAGAAAATCACTGGTTTGAGACTAGCTAACAAAGTAAGTTAATAAATTAAATTTATAAAGCACCTTTCATTGCTAACAGCAATCCCAAGGTGCTACAAGTTATACATCTAGCTGGTGCAAACTAATCTGTATATATTTTCAAGTTCCTAACTGTTGACATAGCTGTTCTAAAACATTTTTGACAGAATAAGCCGTCATAGCAATTTATTAAAAAAATTCCTTGTTTGGCTTGACGTTTAATTTTGCCACCGCCTTCATGTCGCCATCTATCCAACTCTGGCAGGCACCTTTTGCCACCCATCACACCCTTCTGTGCCCCCATTCCTCTCTCAATCCATGTTTTCCTCCACTCCCTCTCTCGCTATCGGAGTGGTTCTAGCCGTCTTTGATGTCTGTTGTGTGTTTTAATGAGTTTGTTGTTGACGGTTGCTGTGCCTCCCTCTCTCTCTCTCTCTCTGCCACTCATCCTGCCTGCTGGGCTGAAGCCACAGGAGTGCTAACACAAGTCAAGCACAAACCTATCTACACACACACACTCAAAAAAGTCGCTTTTTTGTGGCCATTTATAGAGCAGATGAACACAGACAAAGTGTAGTGCTTTTTTTCAATAACAGGTACAAGCAGATGTCATACGCATACACAGCCACACAATCATGTGATGTAACTGTACAAATGCAGATATGTCTACTGATCCACACACACATAAAGACAGGCAGAAACACACACACACACACACACACACACACACACACACACACACACACATGCATGTATGTAGAGGACAGAGGAGTTTGTTTCAATTCTGTCTCGAGGGCGGCAGCTGTGTTCTGATGTATTAATCATCTTCGTCTCCAGCTTGCTAATTAATGACCCATCTGTCCCCTCTCACTGATGTTCCACTTCAAACTCCCTCATACACAAACACACACTCGCAGGGCTGCAACACAACAACTGAATGCAAGTTCCAGTGATGAAACTCCAGCTCCAGTTACAGGGAAATATTCCCAGACACTGTGAGCCACTCTCTCTCATCTGCTTTCATGTAGAAGACCAAAAGAAGAGTGTTTGTGGCAAATTTACCAGGGAGTTGTTCTCTTCTTCAGTGGTGTTTAGATGGCAGACATTGTGCGTTTGGGTTTGCCTGCGTGTGTGTTTATGTGTGCACTTATGTGGGTGTGTGTGTGTGTGTTCGTAGGCTTATCAGGTGAGCCCGGGCAGAGTGTCAGATGCGGTAATGGAGGCTTCAAAGACAAGCGCTGCGGTGAGTTCCCTGGTTGCCTTTTTCAAACCCTCCCCATCCTCCCCTATCCCTCCATAGAGACACACAGGTAGATGGATAAAGAGTGGAGGCAGGGAAGAAGATAAGCAGCAGAGAGATGAATACTTAAGTGGGTGCAAAGTCAAATACACAACATCCAGGCAGAGTAAATCAGGCAAAGAAGATATTGGGAAGCAGGGAAGCTGCCTGACAAACAAGACAGACAGACGGACAGTCAGACAGTCAGACAATCCAGGTGCTTGCCCAGCCCCCCCCCCCCCCCACACCCTCCCCCCCCTTCACTTGCATGCATAGAGCTACTTCAAACACCCGCCGCTTGTCTGCTGCTTTGTTCGCCTGTTCTCTTTGCAGCTGTGGTTGTTGTTTTTGTTGTGTTGATGTTCACCGTCGTCACCGCCATCGAGGATTTGCTTCCTTTTCAACGGCAGTTCTATTTCTGACTTACTATCTGCTCGTTTCCATTTTCATCTTTTGTACTGTATATGTGTTTGAGTGCGTTTATTTATGTGTGTGTGTGTCTTTTGTTTTGCATTTGATAAACAGACACAGTAAAGGGATAGTAATTGAGTGTTTGATCATTTAGATCACTAGTGGAGGTGTTTGTTTCTGTTTGTTTTTATTCTTTTGGGATCAAATGGGTTTTTTTCTGGCTTTTAAGTAAAGTATGACAAGAGCAGGCAGTTAAACTATTACATTACAGGCCATATGTTAGCTAATATGAGCATTTGTAGCTGTTAAAAAGCAATTATGGGATTGTATATGTTGTCATCTACGTTTGCAGAAATGTATAGTTTATTTTGCTTTACATTTGTAGGTATTAACCTGTCAGTGTAACCTGATATGTCTCAGCTTTAGAATTCATTTTAATGTATAGCTCCCTTCTCTGTATTTGCATGGATTTCATATGTTATTAAGCAACCCTCATGCCATAATCAAAAACAAAATAACTGAACAACATAAGGCAAAATTAGTACAGAAATATTTCCCGTTGTCACCGAAAGCATGTCTTTATATTAACAATGTATTTAGTATCACTGTATTTTACATAATCACTGTGTTGGGGCCAACTCCAAGATATGTGTGTATTGATAGCCTTCAATTGCTCTATATCTGTCAGATCATATTAGTGCAGTATTAAAGTAACACATAGGCTTAAGCACAACCTAACAGTGCAGGACTTAAACAAATGCCTTTTGATTTTCAATAGAAATAATCAAACATCACATACTGGGGCATTCTGCAGCAAGATATATATTTATAATAGAGAACAATTTAGTCGTCTTTAGTTTTGGTTTTTAATGAAAAGATCACACATATATATCATTTTAGAAATTATAATAATATCAGGTTTTTAACTGAATAATAAAACACAATCACGTTTTGGCTTCAACAACCTGTGTTGTCCTGTGGATGCACCTTCTGCACCCTGTACATGTGTTAATGTGTGGCTTTATCTCCCTGTCCCTGCTTCCTCCTCCTCCTCCTCCCTCCCAACAGCAAACCCTGGAGAACAACCTGACCAACCTGGTGAAGAGGAACAGCGAGCTGGAGAACCAAATGGCAAAGCTCATCCAGATCTGTCAACAGGTTGAGGTATGCAAACATCTATATGTTTGTGTGTGGAAGTTAGTAGTACGCTTAGTTATTGTGACAGTAATTTAAACCATAGCGAGATTTTTTAGGGGGTAGTTGGATGGATATTTGAGCAATACTAAAATCTTAGTTTTAAATGTAAGTGGGTCACTTGGAATCACTTGGCTCCCTGCAACCCCACAAGAGCTACCCTGCATTTGATGTGCACGTTGTCAGACTTTCTGTCCTAAAGCCTTCATCCAGCACTTTTCAATGTGTCAAGCTTCAAAAACAATCACAACACAAGCCAGGGTTTCAGTTTTATGGTAGCTGACCCGTGCCAAAAAGTTTTGAGGATTGAGGCTTTAACCTTCTTCCCTCTCTTTTGAACAGACCAACCATAAACACCCCCAAGCCTGTCACTGTTATTGATTATATACAGTTTACAGCCTTTGCTATTGGTGACTGCTCTCTTGCCACGCTCTTTACACTTTGTCTATTACTCTGGAACGTTTCTGATTGAAGAAGTACAGGGGTGGAAATGGGACTTTCTTTTCTATCCCTCCTCCTCCTCGATCGTGGTAGTGGTTGTGCTGGCAATACAATCAGTGCCCTATTCTTCAGTTCCCTCCACTAGCTTGCTTCTGATCAGATATTGATTTGTGTCAAGACTTAGAGTGCATTTCAGTTCTCTTTCATGGTGTCATATAAGGTCAGCATTGCAACACTGTTTTAAAAGTGATTATAGTGAAAAATTGGAAGCCATGGACTAGAGAAAACTACCCAAGAAACATAGCAGAGTAATGACCTAAATGTCATTTGAACTCTTTAATATTTTACCTATGTTTTTTGTCATTACAAATGAACACCAGTCACACTCTCTGTGACCTTCTGTACTTTGCCAATGGTAGCTCTCCCAACAACTTGACTCAAACCGTGACTCAAGAACAAAGGATGAGCTGGAGTAGCTCTCAGCAAACATCCACCCTCAAGCTGTTGACAGGGGCTGTTATATAATTCAGACAACTTCCAGCACGTGAATCACCACTTCATTGTGGTCAAAGATACTACCGAAAGCAATATTCTCTACTTTCAAAATGCCAATAACCTAATGTAATGCTTTTAATGTGTGTGTCTCTTCAAGGTCATACTTTCAATGTTGTTATCTATTGCTATAGGGCAGGGGTCACCAACCTTTTTTAGGATGAGAGCTACTTTAAAAAAATAAAACAAGTCAGGGGCTACTTTTACTCCTCTTTTCTTTGTTTTTTGCAGTGTATATATTTAGCACATTTTAACATTATTCTATGCTGACCTTTAAAGGTAGGGTAGGTAAGTTTGAGAAACCGGCTCGAGATCGCTAGAATTTGAAAATACACAACCCGGAGAAAATCTGCCACTTCCTTACAGAGCCCCTCCTCCAACACACAGGAACGCGCACATGACCAATGAGGGCACGAGATAAGTTTGTGCACAGATGGAAGGCTGACAGGCAGGTAGGCCATCCAGTTATTTTAGCCGGGCCGGCTAAAATGATTGGTCGTGCTTTTTACAGTACTACAGCTTCCACAGATGACATTTTTTTATGTATTTTTTGTCAAAGCACTTAAGATATTCATTGCTATCGGGATGTTAAGAGCATTCCATGGAATATAACAAAAAGTGTATCTCGAGCCGGTTTCTCAAACTTACCTACCCCACCTTTAACCTCTGTGTGCTGTTTGGGTCTGTGGGACCTGTTTTCAGTGTTTACTAAAATAAAATGTATGCAATTTAATTATTTTAACCTGCTTTATTTGGGGGTGGACCTCACCTCCTCTAGGGGGGTCCGGGGGCATACAACCCCGGGAAGATTTTTTTTTAAATGTTGAAGTGAAATGCATCAATCTGGTGCACTTTGAGCACAACATGAATTGATGGATACAGCTCTCAACACTCATATGAAAGGGAGCTGTATACTTTTCAATAATCCAAACATCTTTAGAATATGATCACAACCAATAACAAATCATTTAAACTTGTCTTATGTTACCTAGTTAGTATTCTTTCTTTCTATTTATGCATATTTTACTAATCACTCCCCTTTTAAACTGTTTTTAGTTTTTACTGTCCTATAGTACACATTGGAATGATGTCTTACTTTATCTATATTAAATAGATAAAGGTGTGCTCTCCCTACTGTAGCTCTCTGTCTCGCTCGCTCACAGAGGCTGTGTGCTCCTCCGTGGCGATGACGGCTTGCGTTAAAAAATAATAATAAACATATTTGTAAAGTGGGGGGACACAAACGAGATTTAGAAAAGTGGGGGGGACATGCCCCCCCTGTCCCCAGTGGAAATTACGCCATGCGTGTGTGTGCGCCAAGTGCAATAAATATATATGCAAGTTGCAACACACACACAGTAAAACTCTGGCCCTCATGTGCTGTATAGGCTGGCACGACTAGCTGTTCAATGGGGCTGATGTGTTGTAGATTCTGCCAGAAGGAAAATCACGGTCCTTATGAAGCGGAGGGCTGCCGCTCCACATTGCTTTTCTTCCCGACTGCAACGCTGGTCCCGCAAATCAAGCAAGAACGTGATTGGTCGATATTCATTGTGGGGCGGGGGGAGGAGGGGTGTTAGATAGATATAGAGTTGTATTAAGTAGATAGAGTTCGCTATGATTGAGGTTTCGTTTATGCATAGGGTAGATTCTTTTAATTACATTTCCTTTTTTGTTTTGTGTATTTTTTACATTTTGGATTTGCATGGCGAGCTATTATTTAGAACATGCCCCGCGGGCGACTCACGTTGCCCCTGCGGGCGACTAAGTGCCCGCGGGCACCGTGTTGGCTACCCCTGCTATAGGGTCTGGTTCTCTTACATCTTACTGTGCTGAATATGATTTTTTTTATGAACACTCATGAACAGTCCAGCTGGAGCCACTCATACAGGAAATGTAAACTCTCCATTTAAAATCAGATAAGATTATCTCTCAAATAGCATATGTCTTCCAAGAATAAAACTCTCTTTGACTTGTCACATGCTTGAAATGTTTTAAAGTGTATCACGCTTCAATTTGGTGACAACATTGGAGAATGTGTCCCTCTCAAGTCCTGGTGTGAACCCATACCTGCTGCAGAAATATTATTCCTCAGCCAGTCTGATCACTGCTGACCTCTTCCATTTGTGCTGTGTTTTAAACGAGGTGGAATGTAAATCCAGCCGGAGATTACTAATGCCTAGCTACTGAGTGTTGTCTGCACTGCAGTGCTTCCACATGCATGGACACACACACACACACACACACACACACACACACACACACACACACACTCAAGAGCATACTTTCCGTCTTAACACACTCACTCTTAATAAATGCCATAATTTCTCTGTGAGAATTGACATTAATGGCCACAGAGGACAAATGCACTTTGGTGCCGCCATCAGTCTGCATGTGGTTCATTTCTTATTAGCCGGGCCTGACTCAATTTTCTCGAAGTCACTCCGAGGCCCATAAGCAACAACTCATGCAGCCGCTCACCCAATCAAAATGAAATGATCACTGCGTGATTTATTAAGTGCAGACGAACTGTTCATCAGCAACGCAAAAAGTTGGTCTACATATTGTCTCAGTCTGCATACAAATGCTGCGGCAAGGCCAATAACAACAGCAGCGTCTCATCACTTATTCATCAACAAAGAAATGAAAAGCAAAAGCATGGGGGGGAAACATGCTCCAATGACTCTTAATCAAATTATGAAAAGGAACTATGTGTTTTCACGCCCTGTTTGTACCCGTACCGAGCTATTCTCCTGTGTCATGTCAATGTCATGAGGCTAGTTTAATTAAGGACGTGAGGAATGAAGGGGAAGTAATTTTTTCAGGTGAGTTCACATTAATGTGGCTCTTTAGAGAAGAGGAGAAGAGAGGGGAAAAGAGGACAAATGAGGAAAGAAGATGGAGAAATGTTGAGAAAGTAGAGAAGAGGGAAATGGTAGACGGAGAAAAAAGGAAGAAAACTGCAGTGCAGGCAGGGGAAGTGGGAACGAGGAGTGTTAGCATGACATCAAATGATCTCTTTGACCAAAACAGTTACAGGCACTGCTTGGAAGAAAAAACGCTCGGCAATAATGCAATACAACAAAGACAGGGAATTTACAGCGGAAAAAGAGGAGATTTGGTGGAGTGAGGGGAGTGTGTGCACCAAGTAAGACATCTCTGAAGGGCTTTGAACATGACCTGGTTTCGTCTCCTCCATGTTTGCATCATATTGTGTTGGTGCCAAAGATATGATCAAACACAGTGTGAGTCAGCTTTCAGAGTTTCAGTGCACACAGAAGCGATGCAGCCCTGCTCTCCTGGGGCTGTCTTCGGGGAGTTATCTTCCCTTCAGTCTCAGGAAAGATGACTTGATGATGTGTAGGAGGCATCTCCCCTTGTCGCAATATTTGGTGTGGTGTGGTTAAATCTGTAACTGTGCTTAATGACATCCATAATAATGTTCCACATTCTTGAAAACATTGAGAGAATTGCATGATTCTTGAGTATTTTCTAAGACTGTGTATTCAACTAAAACTGACTCTTATCTATTCAATACCAGATAGCTGGCTGGATATTAATAGGCAGCAGGGAAGAGACACTCAGTGAGGCTGTTTGGCACGGAGCATTTCCCCCCAAAACCACTTTGTTAATGAATACATGTTGTTGCAATGGCCACTGTTTCTAAGTTTAGAGTCAAAGCAATGCAAAAGCTGAGATGATTCTCACAGTCATGCAAATGTATGGCATGTTACCTGCACATGGTTTTACTTTACAAAACATTTGTTTTAAGCTGTTTTAATAGGCCAAAATATGTCTGCTCAGCTATCCTTTTTTTGTGTGCATCTGTTGCCTTGTGTTCATTGCCTCACTGCTTTTATTTTTAAAAGTATGTTACCACTTTGTAAGCAGTAACATAGCTACTGTAAGTTTAAATTAGTTTTAAAGTTGATTTTATTTTCCCCTTCTTGTTCCAATGGACATCTGGAAAGATGCAC